TGGGGATGCTCATCCCCATACTGGATTCAGGGTGGGGGGTCTTGAGGTGTGGGGGAGGCAGTGTCTTACACCCTCCTCCAGCGTAGCAGGGCCCTCCGTCCGCAGCCGCAGTGTTTCCTTCCCGCTGGCCACTCTGCCCTCGCCTGGGGCCTTGCTGCTCCGTGTCCTCTGCCCGATCATGTCTGCACCCCAGGGTGGGGGGGCAAGGGTGCAGGCAGGGTCTGGCACCTCCTGCCCCTTGCTGCCCACCACGCCAGCCACCACCCAGCCTCAGCACCCGGGGGGGTACCACGCAGGGAGGGGGAGGTCATGGCAGCATGGGTGTAAGAGACACCCATGGGTGCACAGATACAAGGTGCCCATGGGTGCCCAGGACAGCACACATAGAAATAGGGGTGCCCATAGAGAGCACAAGCAGGTAAGGGGACCCCCCCATGAGGAGTGCCCATATGGGTGCCGTGGAGGGGTGCCCCAGGGCTGTAGGGTGCAGGACAGGGGTGCACAGGGCAGTGGAGCCTGGGGGGACCCAGTCCTTGGGGAGGGGGCTGCAAGGCAGAAGGGTCCCAGGGCATCAGCCTCCCCATGCTCTTCTCAGGGGGGACCCGTCTGACTCACCAAAGGCCTTTTTGGGCTGCACCAGGCGGAGGGTGAAAGGCTGAGCCCGGGGCAGCTCCCGCAGCATCCGGGCCACCTCATAGTGCCGGCAGCCCACGATGGTGTGGTCGTTGATGGCCTCGATGCTGTCACCCACACACACCGTCTGGAGGCGGTTGATGATGCTCCCCTCCTTGATTCTCTGGGGACCATGGAGGGGAACGAGGGACACACAGTGACAAGGTGGCACCAGGGAAAGGACAAAGACATAGCCCCCATCCCACCCCACACAAAACCGCCTCCGTGGTCCCACGTCCTCTAGCAACTGGAGCAGGCAGGGAGGGTCTCCCCCAGACTGCACCGTGGAGGGGGAGACCCCCCAGGGCAGACCCCAGGGGCGCTGATGGGAGTGGGGGGAGTCAAGGAAGGAGTATGGTCTCAAGGATGGGGTACCACCAGTGGATGTCACCATGCAGGGCCACAGCCCCCAGCCCCAGCGCAGGCCCACAGGGGTTTCACCTTGATGAAGGCATAGCCGGCCCCGTTGTCTGTGATGGTGAGGCCAAGTGCATCCTCTGTCTTGGTCACCTCCACCTCCTTCGTCTCACCCCGGACGTGGGCAAAGATGAAGTCCTCCAGGCCGATCTGTCCCCCCAGCAGCTTCTGCATGTCTACTTTGTGCGTGTTGAGCGTGCAAAAGAGGATCTGCCCCAGGGAACCCCGTGTTGCCCTGGGGGAAGGAGCCAGCCATGGGCAGACCCAGCCAGGTCTGAGCACTGCTGGAGCAGAGGGGTGTAGGGACACGCAGGGGACACCCAGGGACACAGCACTGCTCCATCCCTGTGCCCTTCTCTCAGCTCCAGGCTATGCCAAAGCTGGCAGCAGCCAGGGAATAGGCAGCCCCAGCTCCCTGGCTGCATGCTGAGAGGGAAACTGAGGCACAGATCAACTAAATCACTCCCCACAGGAGACAAGACAGCCCCGAGAGGAAAACAATGTTTCCAGATCATTTTGGGGGCTGTGTTTGCAAACAGCTGGGGACTCACGGGAGGGCTGCCCACAGATAGCACCACAGGGTCAGCACC